CGACAAAAGAAAAAGGGGCGTTATTTTTCCTTTCCCTTCTTCTTTTGACATGTTTCTTCTCTTAGCTGCTGGGCAGACAGAGCTAAGAACTGAGGATAAGCTGAAGAGGAAAACACTACACTGATAAAAACAAGTCATAGGGGGAGAAAACCAGACCCCAGACTCTAGTCCAGCCCTGAGAATTGAAAGACCGCTTAAATGATCTAGTTCGTCACCCAGCACCAGTGCAGGATTGCTCTCTGCAGCATATTTTCTAGCGTTTTATTGAGTTTAAAATTAGATTGCATTGTAAGCCCATATCCGTTGCTCAAGCTTGAAGGTTATTTATGTAGGCAGCAAGTGATGGAAAGATTATCATGTGGATATGGCACTGGACTAAGACCCAGAGAGCTTGAGTTCGATGCTAACCATACTTTGCAACTGTTCAAATGTTTGAAAGTGCTGATGGAGGAGCATTAGTACTGAGATCCACACATGGCTGGGGGCAGGGGACATGTCTAGAGCAGGTTTGGGCAAAGTATGGCCCAAAGGGTGAATTCAGTTCCCCAATTGTCTCTGGCCCACAGCTGCCCCTGTGGTGCTCCACATGGGGCCAAGCCTTGCCTGCTTCTGCCAGAGGCAGACTGTCCTGCACTCCAGCTTGCATCCGTCCCATGCCCACTGACTGCAGTCCCCTGCCCTGGCCCTGGCCCTGGCCCTAGCCTTGGCCAGCATGCCCAGCTTCCCAGAGGGGCTGCTCTCGCCACTGGTGCAGCTGCCTGGGTACTGCTCCCCAGTTGCCCCAGCAGCTCCTCCTGCCCCTGCTGCACCGCTCCTGGCAGCAGGTAGCGCAGGGAAGCTGCAGTCAAGCAGCTCCTGCCCCAGCACGCAGGGCTCCAGCTTCAGCTCTTGACCACCTTCCACCCACTCCACCGTCCCGGTGCAATGAGCAGCCACCCGTGGTCGGCTGAGTGGATGGAAGGCAGCCCCGCTGGGAAGCTGTGCATACTGGTGGTGCTGCTGGCAGGCACGGGGCGGTTGAGGGTTGAAGTGGGTGGGGCTCAGCCCCATGTGGACCACCACGGGGGCAGCCATGGGCCTGATGGGGTGGGGGGACTGCACCTTCACTTGCACTGCACTGCCTGGGCAAGCCCCGCTGCATGAGCCCCATGCCCCCTCTCCTTCCTTTCCCCCAACCCCAGCCAGCTCCTGGGACCTAGCGCATGGGCAGCTTACATTACTCAAAAACACATACACCAGGACAAAAATATTTTTTTCAATAAAATTAAAATATGTTATAGTAGATGTTTGATTTTTAATAGATAATTCATTTTTTTATCTATCATTTGTTAAAATGATATCTTCTGAAGGATTTTATGTGTGCGGCCCTTGACAGCACACCAAAGCTCATTAACTGGCCCACCAGCTGAAATAATTGCCCACCCCTGGTCTAGAGGACACTGACTCTTTCGACTGTTCTCCCACAATGTCTGGTGCTATCTGCCCTGGCATATTCAATACATACTTGTTTCAGTCCTGCTTCTTTCCCAGTTTTATCCCAGTTCAATTCTCCTTGCCTATTTATTCCCAGGCTTCACTCCTCAGGCTTCCCTTCCTACTACCAGTCTCCTTGACTAGCCACATACATTTCTCCCCTCCCAACATCGGACTGGATGACCTACTGAGGTCCCTTCTGACCCTAACATCTATGAAACATTTCCCATTTTATCTACCTCTCCCTTCCTCCCCCTACTAGCTTCCAGACTCAGTTTCCTTCATTTTCACTCTCTCTCAATCATTCATCAAAGCACCTTGGCCCAGTCTCTTCCCTTCCTGGCTCCTTATCTCAGTCTTTCTACAACAGGTTCTAGTTCTCCAGCTGTCATCAGATCTGTTTCCCCTACAAAGCAACTGAAAACCAGGTTTTGTAATGAGAAACGTTGGACAACCATAGTACTAAGCCTTGCTATGAGCCCACCAAGCTTATTATTTGTAGAGCACATTTTGTGACTTTGGGGTAGCTTTAATCTTAGTTACTATTTTTTTTTCTTCCCCTGGCCTCAGTTCAATTCATCTCTCCTTCCCCTGCGATGTAGTTGACATCTCCACTTGTTCTGTCATCCCATTATTCTCCCTGTTCCTTTGCCTTTAGCCTAAAGCCATCATTCAAAAGTGAAATGTTTGCTCATGTTACAAAGCAAACATCTGGCTTCATTATGGAAAGACATCTCCATATTTACCTCACCGGCGTTTCAGGTACAGTACTTTGTGCTGGAATCGTGACAGCCCGCTCCAGGGCAGCACGGGAAAAAGCTCCTGCTGGCTTTTTTTGGTGACAGGTTAGGCTGTCTGACAATGAGCAGCTGGCTATCCAAACTGCATGGTACTCAGCAGCGGTTTGGATAGCCAAGGATTTAGAGGAAAGTTATTTCTATCATCTGAATTTGTAGATGGATTCCTAGGACACTGGCAGGGAGGGGTTGGGAGGGCGGGAAAACTTGGATAGAAAGCAGGCAGATTGAAATATCAATGGCCGCAGCAAGAGCTGACATTATTTGTGGAGCAAATGCTTGTACTGTGAAAAAATATGGTGCATTCCTGATGATTCACACCCCCACCAAGGAAGCATCACCCCCAGCCGAACTATGCCTGTGTTCGTATCGGCTTCAAAGCCTTCCACGCAATCCTCAAGGAGCTGGCATGGAAATAGACAACTTCAAAGCAGCTCTTCCACCTCTCCGGGTGATTACGGGTGGAGAGGTGGCCTTCAAAGCATTTCCCCTTTGCCTGGGAGGACAAGGAAACCAAGCTTTGTGTTGCTCAAACTACGCAGGAACATCACGTGCTGTACAAAGCATGAAGCCAGCCCTACTGTGAGGATCCCCCTCCGGAAACTCGTCACCTCTCTGCTCTGCAATTATCGTCCACTTTGCTTGCACTTCCCATGCCTCGTTTTCATCTCAGCAGCACTTCTGTGCTCAGTGACAAATCCCATTGGCTGAGCTGCATTGCTGCACAGGCCTGACGAATCCCATTGGCTGAGCTGCATTGCTGCACGGGCCTGACAAATCCCATTGGCTGAGCTGCATTGCTGCACAGGCCTGACAAATCCCATTGGCTGAGCTGCATTGCTGCACAGGCCTGACGAATCCCATTGGTCGCTGCATGCTTGCAATAGCAACGTCATAACCGCACTGAGTGAGAGACCTGCTGGTCTGACCTGAGGGCAGTATGGGATAGTACGTGGATTTTTTCTTAACAGGAAAGAAAGAATCCACTGTATTAGACACACTGTTGTAGCCTTCGGCAAGATTTCACTAAATTTCTCAAAATTCACATTTTTTTTGTCACCGTCACTTCTGTCACTTTACTAATGAGACGTAAATAACAGTCTTAATAGGTCCAGAACAAACCCCCCTGGGATTCAAAATAGACACCCGGGTACAAGTGAGCTGAATCCATAATAAGGAATACAGGAATTGTTTAGCCAAATGCCACCAGTGAGACCACTGACTGCATGGGAGGGAATGCAATATGGAGAGCCAGGACAAGAAGAAATATCAAAACCTTGGTTTCTACACAGCAGACGACAGCAAAACCTGTACTGGGACTGGAAGCGTGAACACCTCTGCAATGGCGAGTCCTGCTGATGTGTTCACAGACGTGTCCCCGAGCATCTTCCCCAGTGAACTGCTGGATTTGGAGGGTGCCTGAGGGCACGCGAGGCCATTCCTGGACGTCTCGGTGCTGGGACACGCCGCCACGCAGGACAGACCGCTGTCTGTGCGAGGTACCAGAGATGGTTGTGCAAAGAGCCCACAATAATTTGCAGTGCTTGGCAACTGCCGGCAGCTGATGTATATGAGCACAGAGGAAAGTCATTACCTCCTGATAGCCAATTATTACAATTTTTTTGAATAAATGAACTAAGCAACATGTTAGCCCTCGCTGTATGAATCACAGCAAGGCAATATTCCCCAGCTATAGTATTCTTGCGATGAGCTAATTTTGGGTAATGGACAATTGACATCTCAGGAATTTTGAAGATTCACAAGGGATTGGTGCTTCAGACGCAGCTGACAGCCCACGTTATCCACGCGGCAATGGATGAGCTGAAATATGTACGAATACTCAAGTAGATCCTAAACCAAGGCAACGAGATGGTTAGGACCCTCGTCTCAGGGTATTCATCCGCTGAAACGTAGCGGTGGAATTAGGGACTTCGCCCGCGCAGGGGTGCCAAATCGGTGCGACTTGTGAAAGAAGGTCGTTCTCATGCAAATCGCACAAAATACAACGGATCGGGATGCACCGAAGGAGATGGCAGGAATAAAATGACAAAACCCTGAAACCTTGCCAAAGAAACACTGGTATAATGAGAAATACCGGGGGTCACCGGCATGGGAACTGAACCAAAAGAACAAGCCAGGCCATTTGTAATAGAGACAGGACCGCTCTTATTAGTGCCGGCATCCCTGATGATGAGCGTGTCACTTGTGACTGGGAAATGGCAAGCAACGGGGACGCGGGCTGTGATTCCTACAAAGAGCAGAGACCGCACAGAGCAGGGCCTGGACAGACTACAACTCCCAGCATGCAGCGCGGCCCGCGGCTCTTTCCCCCTCTCCGCGCGATGGCTGCTGGGAATCGTAGTCTCTTCAGCCTCCCGCGTCGGCGCGTGCGCAGTGGCGGGGGCTTGGCCAATGGGCGGCGCGGCGGGAGATACGGCCGGGCGCGCGCGGGCGCTGGGGCCGTTGGCCGCGGTGAGGGGGTTGGGGAGGGGCGGGCTCTGTCTCAGCCCTCAGGTGCGGGCCTACCCCGGCCTGGGGCCTGTGGGAAGTGAGGTGCAGGGGAGCTCAGGGGCCGCATCCAGCCCCCCCTGCATCACCCCAGCCAGGGATTTCTCCTCAGAAATGCGGGCGCGGGGGATGAATCCCACCTACCGTCAAAAACACACGCGCGTGCCAGGCGCGTCTCCGAATAATTGTGTCTCCCCCACCTTCTTTTCCCCTCCCTTTTAGGGTCTGGCGCGAGTCCGAAGACCTAAAATTACGGATTTCTCCCCGCCCCGAGCGATGGCCGCCGAAGCCAAATACAGCATCGTGCGCGAAGTCGGCCGGGGGAGTTACGGGGTGGTTTACGAGGCGGTGGCCAGCCAAACGAGAAGCAAAGTGGCGGTGAAAAGGATGCACTGCAACGTGCCCGAAAACGTGGAGCTGGCTCTGCAGGAGTTCTGGGCCCTGCAAAACGTCCAGAAGCGGCACGAGAACGTGATCCAGCTGGAGGAGTGCGTCTTGCAGAGCGGGCAGGTCTTCCAGCCCATCAGCCGCCACTACCGCAAGTCGGACCACCACCTGCTGCTCATCGAGACCTGCCTGAAGGGGCGGCGGTGCATGGACCCGCGGGCGGCGTGCTTCCTCTGGTTCGTGATGGAGTTCTGCGACGGCGGGAACATGAACGAGTACCTGCTGTCGCGCGGCCCCGACGCGCAGCTCAACAACAGCTTCATGCAGCAGCTGAGCGGCGCCGTGGCCTTCCTGCACAGGAACCAGATCGTGCACCGAGACTTGAAGTCCGACAACATCCTCATCTCCCACAGCCCCGGCGGCCCCGTGGTGAAGGTGAGACGGGAGTCCTCGCCGGCGGCGGCGCCGCTTGGACGTGGGGAACGGCGGCGTTTTGTTTCAGGAAGTCCAGATTTTGCTGAGAGTCGGGGCAGGTGTTGCCTCTTGGGGAAGGGAGAGGTTAGGATTCGTTAGGATTAGCTCATCTTTTAACCACTAATATTGACTAAAAGCTACTACTAGTCTGAAGTCTTCGTTTTAAACTACGGCAGCAGCCCAGCGAAGCAAACGAAATCTCTGGCTTCCGAAACAGCAAGTCATGCTGGAGGCTGCAATAATTGGAAGTGTTGAGAATTAAAACCAGAAAGGGATGATATTGCTTAATTTTCTTTTTCCAGGCTTTAATTAGGCGGTTCTCAATGACGCTGAGAAGAGCAGGTAAGTGGTAGGGCCGGTCGCTCCTACAGTTTTCTGCTGAAGTCCCAATCCTGAGGGATTTCTAGTAGTTAGCAAAAGGCTAAGTAGGTCTGCCGCTGTAGGTTTACCCCTGTCATGGCCCGTCCATCAGTGGTAACTACACGTTTCCCTCACCAACGGCTGGGGTTAGGTTCCTGAAAGTTCCCGCAGTTGGCAAGACAAAAGGTTTATGGGGAAAATGGCAGGTGGCGGGTTGATGCACGGCCACGGAAAACCGTGGTCACTCAAAATGGGCTACCGTGGTAGCCAAAATGGTGTGCACAATGTTAAGCGTGGATACTCGAAACCGTGGTTGGCGAGGGAAACCTGTAATGTGTTTTCATGTTTGGAGCATGCACATGACGCTTGAATCAATGGCCCTGTCCACATTACAGAATTCTGCCGGCGTAGCTATGCTGGCCATGGCACACGCAAAGATTGAGCTGTAGTCATCGTACCGGTGCTGGCAGAGCGCCCAGAGTGGCTGTGGCTCTGCTGGCAAAGGTTCGGGCAAACTGGTTTAACCCTGGAAGTGGAAGTGCCTTTAGGCCAGCAGAGCCGCATCTACACCAGGGGCTCTGCTCTCAGCAGTGATCATATGGTTTAAACCAGGGGTGGTAACCCCCTGGCCTGTGGGCTAGATCTGGCCCACAAGGCTCTCCACAGGTCTGGAAATGTGGTGGTGGTGGAGGAGTGGCAGTTAATGCTACTGCAGCCCCTGCTGCCATGTGTCCAAGCCTGCCGTGCTGGCCCTGTATGGAAGGATCAGGACCTGTTTCCACACTGCTGGATTGAGCCAGGTCCTGATCCAGCCACGCAGCAACAGCTCGGCCAGAGCCCGATTCAGCCATGTGGGATCAGCCCTGGCTGGGCTGTTCCTGTGTGGCTAGATTGTCAGAGCGAGCAGTCTCTGCCCTCTTTCCCCGCTGTGCACTCTTTCCCTGCTGTGCACCTGGACCCGGATGCCGGACTCGCTGCCTGGCCCTGGCTCCCTCTCTCTGGACGTGGGGGATCCCTGCAGAGGAAGCGGGGGCTGAAGGGCAGCCACAGCACTTGGACTTCACCACTCGGGGAAACTGTATCGGGGATTGCTCAGGTACCAGTTTTCCTGCCATTGCCTTCCTGGTACCTGTAATTGCTTGGAGCCAGCAGGTGGGCAGTGCTGAGACCCCCAAACTCCTCACCTCGGGGATGTGCACGTACCAGGAAGTGGCTGCTCCCTGAAGAGCAAGTGGACACATCCCTGTTGCAGTGGCCTGGTGGAGGCTGATCCCGCACAGCTGGATTGGGTCTCACCAAGCTATTTCTGCATGTCTGTACTGAGCCCTAGCTGGGCCAGACTGTGCTGGATCTGTCCCATAGACCAGTTTGGCACCAGTCATCCTTCCCATCAGCTGAAAAGGTTGGGAGCGCTAACAAAACACTGACTTAGCCAGTCAGAACAGATAGTAGCGGGTAATACGAGAGTGTTAAGATTCCTCTAAGCACAGCAAGTAGCTGTTGCTGTTCTGCTGTGTTCATGCCTGTATTCACAATACCTTAGACACGGCATTGCTGGATATGGATGGATCCAAGTAGATCATCAGGCTAGACTTTCCTCAAAGATAATGACTTGCTGCTACTCTCATTCTTAGGAAGTCATGCAGACAGTAGGGTGGAATGGAGCACTAGCTGAAAGGAACTGGAAATAATTGTTTTGCGAGGGTTGACATCCAAAGCTATTAAGAGATATATTGCACTGAGTCACCTGAAATGCACAAATTGTACTATAAACCATGTTTGTAAGCTCATTAGTAGCTAAAGTAAAACCTATTGGTGTTAATGAATCAACCTACCAACTTCCTGCTTCTCTTCTCTCCTTGCCTGTTCTGTTTGAATGTTACTGCTAATAATGGTGACTCCTCATGTTCTGGTCCACAGGTAGCAGACTTTGGCCTGAGTAAGGTGTGCCAGGGAAAAGTGAATGTGAACCAGCATCGCTTCTCCTCAGCCTGCGGGTCAAACTTCTACATGGCACCAGAGGTGTGGGAAGGTCACTATACTGCCAAGGCTGATATCTTTGCCCTCGGGATCATTTTCTGGGCTATGGTGGAGAGGATCACCTTCAGGGATGGGGACACTCAGAAGGAATTGCTTGGTGAGAGTATTTTCTTTACTGTCATCACTGAGTCCTGATCACAGGTCCTTTTCCAGGACCCCAAAGGATCCTGTAACTCCCGAGGAGTCTTGGGCACTGGTCCGACTTGGAATAACCAGAAACAACGGCCACAAACTGATGGAGAGTAGGTTTAAGTTGGACATCAGAAAGAACTTCTTCATGGTTAGGGTTGCCAGAATCTGGAACGGGTTTCCAAGGGAGGTGGTCCCCTCCCCTACCTTGGGGGTCTTCAAGAGGAGACTGGGCAAGCACCTGGCTGGGGCCACATGACCCCAGCACTTTTTCTTGCCACTGTCAGGGGGTCGGACTCAATGACCCTTTGAGGTCCCTTCCAACCCTAGTGTCTATGAATCCATGACTCTGCTGGTGTGGTCTTGCAGATGCCTCCTTCTGGAAGTTGTCACTCTTTTGTGCCCTGCCAAGGTGTTACAAGAAATCTGTGAGCCCATCCCACCTTTTCCTTGCCTTCTGTCTGCTTTTGCAGGACTTCCAGGCCTTGGTGCTTTAACACTAAGATGCGGAGATCGCTCTTTACCCTTTAAAACAAAAATATTTTCTCAGAATTATCTCTGTAACTTTTCCAAAAACTTCTTGTGACCATAAAGGCTGGAACAGAACTTGCAGCCTGTGTTTCACCTTGGGAGTATGGCGGCAAAAGAGGAGTAAGTTCTCTGCCAAAATGAGACTGGCTCCTATTCAATAATGCCAGAAACAAAACCCAGCCTAAATTGGTGAGTTTAGCAGCATTCCTTTCTGAATCTACCTCCACTGGTGAAACATCTGCATTGTATTCATGTTCTGTAGGCAGGATACAACAGCTTTTATAGTCAGGTAAGCTACATCCTGTTCAGACACTCTCTGCCAGCATCTGCCTTAACATTAGAAGCATACTTTACCCAGACGCAGGGCCATTGAACTAGAGTTGTGTGTGTATCACTTTGCTGGTATATTTGAGGGGCCAGAGGGTCATAAGGACGTTCCAAGAAATCACATTTTTAGCAGAACCTATATATAGGTCATTTTCAGCACTGTGTGGTTGAACGTTGTACCAGGAGAGGAGGTGGGACAGCAGGGAATGCATAGTTTGATGGACCCTGAGGAGATGCCTTTATGTATAAGCTAGCATAGGCTTCATCTTTGCACTGAGTGGATTCAGGAATGTCTATCCCAAGATGGATTTTTCCACTGTGAGAACAGAATGCCAGTCTTGCAAATGACTATAGTCACTAGAGAAGACCTTGTGCTGCTACTGCTTCTTGTCCCCAGGGAACGCCCATGCCACACACGCTCTGGTATGAGGCAGGTTACCCCAGATGGGATAGAGGAGGCTGCTGGCCCCACCAGCCTTACCTGGAGGCCCTAGGAGGGCTGCATGCCACAGTGCTCCTGCGGCTGGGAGCCTGGCTGACAGCCGACGTGTGGTTCCAGCTGGCAAGGCTCTGGGTTTGGGTGGCACTCACTGCTGCCATGTGTGCTACCCTGCTTTTTTTTTTGGCGTGCGTTTTTTTGACTCTGGACTCTCCCAGGTCAAAACCCACCCTGTGCTGCGAGGTAGCAGCACGGAGCTTGCCTGTATGTGCAGTGTGTGGAGCTGCATACGGCACATCCGCACTTGTCTGGATGTGGCCAAGGGGGCCTAATATAGGTGCTATTCACATTATTTTTCCTAAATGACTAAAATTATAAATAACCAGTATTTGAAATCCTGACACAGGATCCTTTTGAAGGTAGCTGAATTGCTGTTCAAGTTTTTTTTGTCATTTTCAAAATGTAATGGAAATAAGAACTGAGCCCAATTCCTTTATTGAATGCTAAACAGTAAAAACATGTCTGAGTTCTTGGCTACAGAAACAGCAAATGTTTTGGAGCGGAGACTGGGATGTAGCCTGAGTTCATTAAAATAGCCATGCACCAACTTGAGATAAGGAGCTTGCATGTTCAGCCTTCTTCCCTGTTTACCGATCAGTCGCTGCTCTGAAACATTAATTCTTTTCTCAGTTCGAAGGCCAATCAGCTTGGATGAGCAGAGGGGGGTTTTACTGTCTGCAATCCAACTAATCAGTTTAAGCAACCAGTGAAATTATTTAGATTGCCAGGAGCAAATTTACATTTCCTGTCCCTAATCTGGCTGAGAAGGAACTGGCCAAAGGTAAATGGCACGTACTGCCATTTTTATTAAAACTTGTTTGACTTAACTGAGCAGATAAGGATTCAGTTGTTTAACTCTTTTCCAGGTCACTTGAATCAAATGTGACCTTGCTTTCATTCCTAGAGTTTCCAGCTCTGCTGGAGGGGTAAAATTAATTGATAAACAGTGAAATGGGGGAGGTTCATTCCAATAGCTTTTTTTCATTTGCAAGTGTTTCTTCTTGAACAACTGACAGCAAAGCAGTGTAGGCAATAAAACCTGTTCCCCTTTTCTCATATATTCTCATGCATTTTAACACCACAACGTGGCATGCTGACAGCTCTTATTCCCCCTTACTTTATCTGGGGCAGGTTAGAGTGCTTTTGGCATCTGGGCGATATACTCTGTAGTTGTGCAACAGAATTGGTTGCAGTTTTAGGTTAGACAAGGACATGTGTGGGATGGTTTGCATAGGTGTGGTCCTGCCTAAAGCATGGGGTTGGACTGAATGACGTCCAGAGGTCCCTTCCAGCTCTACTTTTCTATGTTTGTATGCTAGAGCTCTGAAACTAGATTTTGTAAACAGCTAACTTTTTCCTGTAACAAATTAGATTTGGTGTGGATGGTGTAAATTGGCATGTTTTGTAGGGACTCTTTTTCCCATATTTAACTTGTCTCTCTTTCCAAACTCTGCCTAGGAACCTACATCTGCCAAGGCAAGGAGCTTATTCCAGTTGGAGAAGCACTGCTGGAGAATCCCAGTATGAAACTGCAAATCCCTCTGAAGAACAAGAAGTCTATACCTGATGACCTCTGCAGACTCCTTCACGATATGTTGGCCTTTAACCCAAAGGAAAGATTGGATGCCTTCCAACTTGAAGTCCGAATCAGGCGAATCTCCTATGGGAAAAAGCGCCAACGCTCTGGCTCTTAGCAACAACGGATAATCAGGTGAGTTTCACACCAGAGTCTTTTAAATGAAATACAGCCCGTAGCAGTCCCTAATGTGTGTGAAGGGTGTAGTCAGCTTGGGAAGAATCCAGTGTCTGAGTAGCTCTTCTACAGAAGGAATAACTTGGGTTCTTTTTAGCGTATAGCCCCATGAGTGGCGTCGACTCATTACACGTCTTAGCAATGGAACTGAATCTGAGAAAGTGCTGTCAAAGCAATCTCTTTTTACTGAACGTTCAACTGTAGTGGTAGTAACAATAGCCAGAGATCTATCTGTTCTGGTGCCCAGCTCACGCTCCCCATTAGTTGTGTTCTTATTATATTTATAGGACTGGCTGTTGGTCCCTTTTCACCACACTCGTCCGTCCCCACCCCCAACAGAAACATGGTGGTAGTTAACTTAATCATATCTCATTGCAGAAATCAGGCCAGCTCTCCAGCACCATTTGAAGCATATGTGTATGTGTACCTGTGGTGGGTCTTTTTAATATCATTAAACAAGTAATGATAAAATTCTCGTGTAGACGAAGCCATTGTATTGGGTACCTTGTATTTTCCTAGTGAAAGTACACGCTGTCACATTGAATCCAGATTCTATAATGAAAAATGTTACTGTACTGTGTAATCATAGAAAATGAGGGTTGGAAGGGAACTCAGGAGGTCACATCTAGTCCAATCCCCTGCTACAAGTAGGACCATCCCAAGGCTTTGTCTACCCAAGTCTTAAAAACCTCCAAGGATGCAGATTCCACAGCCTCTCTGGGGAGCCTGTTCCAATGTTTCACCACCCTCCTAGTGAGAGAGCTTTTCCTGATATGTGACCTCAACTTCCCTTGCTGCAGCTTGAGCCCATTTTTCCTTGTTCTGTCATCTGCCACCGCTGAGAACAGCCCAGCTCCATCCTCTTTGCAGCCCCCCTGCAGGGAGGTGAAGGCTGCTATTCAATCCCCCTTGGTCTTCTCTTCTGCAGACTCAATCAGCCCATTTCCCTCAGCCTCTCCTCACCAGTCATGTTCTCCATTTCCCTCACCCCTTTTGTTGCCCTCCACTGGACTCTCTCCAATTTGTCCTTTCTGTAGTGGAGGACCCAAAACTGGACACATCGTGCCAGATAGATGGGAAGAATCACTGCCCTCGATCTGCTGGCAATGCTCCTACCAATGCAGCTGTTAGCCTTCTTGGCAACAAGGGCACACTGCTGGCTCCTATTCAGCTTCTTGTACACTGTCATCCCCAGGTCCTTTTCTGCAGAGCTGCTGCTGAGCCAGGTGGTCCCCAGCCTGTACTGGTGCTTGGGATTGTTCCATCCTAAGTTTAGGATTTTGCATTTGTCCTTATTAAATGTAATGAGATTTCTTCTGATCCAATGCCTAGAGGCTCTTCGTAATGCCCAGAGGCTCTTAGGATTATATGAGGCCTCCATCCTGCGATAGAATCTGCTAGAATCAATCCTGTGTCATTAATGCACCCTTTGAAAAATCGGGCTTCTTGCACAGTGTGTAACTTTAGGTGCCCAGCATTGATTTTTTTTTTTTTTTTTTTTTGGTCCTAATTCTTGAACATTATTCTTAAGCTATTCTAGCAGGTCTCCTAAACACGGGAGGGTATGCCACACAGACTTCAGGAATTCTGGTTGTCGGGTGTTTTGTGCACACTGTAACAAGGAAGCAGGTGGTAGCTAATAGTGGCAATGATCAAAACATTATCTTGCATTTTGATCATGCCCATTTACTGTCATTTTCTAATTGCTGCTTGTTTTTCCAACCAGCCTAAAACTGTTCTTGCTGACAAAGTAATACTGTAGAAATATTAGCTGATCTTTATAACCAAGTGACTCCAAACTTCAAAAGGCCAGACAATAGCTCCTTACCCAGCCTGAAACCTTCAACCTAAACTTATGGTCTGAGTAAATGGAATGCCCATCAGAACCACTGGCCAGCCTGGTAACCTGAGAGAGCTTCTCTTGTGCAGCGGTTAAGATTGGGGCACTCAACCTCCAGCTCACAGAGCCATGATATCCAGCCTGTGGGAATCCCCACGGGGCAGGAGAACTGATAGTTGGGGAGCAGCAGAAGCTCTGTGTGGCAGAGCCCCGCTCTGCCTGGACCACTGCCTGCCTGGGCCATTGGCACATAGTGGGATCAGGGCTGGGCCTGTCCCCACATGTTCAGATCAGGTCGGGGTGCTCCCTAGCTCCCCCCGACCCATGTGTCTACCAGGGCTGTTCTGCCTCACCCTCTCCCTCACCTCCAACATCTGGATCAGGGTTTTCCTCTCCCAACCCTGCCCCACACACATCTGGGTTGGGTCCAGCCCACTCCCTAGGCACCCCCACCCCCCCAGCAGACAGATCAGGTTCAGACTACATACCACCCTGCAGCTAGATGGGCCCTGCCACACCAGCCCCATGCCCTGGATTGAGCCCACCAACCAGTTCCAGCCTGCACCTGGATTTGGCACTGCCCATCTAGCCCACAGGGCAAAAAGGTTGGGCACCACTGGCTAAGATACTAAGTGAGAGGCCTGTTGAAGATCGCAAATCTGACCTTTCCTTGGTAACTGTAATGCCCTGGAAGTAAATCTGCCTGGAGCCTCAAGTCCTTGCTCTGAAGAGCAGGTGCATCATAGCTAGGTAAGCTTTCCCAAAAACCCTACACAACTCCCTGTTCTGGAAGGTGAGCTGGTAACGTCGCTTCTCTGCTTGTGCAATTTTAGGCCTGCATTCTGAACCAGGACAGTGGTGTCTCAGAGATGTGGGAAGTTGTATTTTACAATTTGATTTCAAACCACTGAATCAGTCTTTGGTTGTCACTGATGTGAGCCAGAATTGAAATTGAATCTCCTTGCTAAAATGTAATCTCAAATCAGTGTTCTCTGTCCTTGGCACTCTGCTTTAATTGCAATCTCTGACTGAGAGGCCTAGCGATAGCATCCTTGCAATTCTTATTTGCTTCCCCTACAGGTCCTGTGTTTGCTGGTCAGGATGCCTGCCTGCTAGCTGGTGCGTAGACATTCTCGCTGAATGATCAGCTGGACCCCAAGGGACACTAGCTAGAACACATCTTGACTACTTCCCATTTCCCCAGAGGCTGTATGTAAAGGAGTAATAACTTTATTTATTTGTATAGTAATTTTAACAAGAGACCTCAAAATCTATTGTTCTGTAAAACCTTTGTTTTTATATTTGTATCCTTTCGGTAGCATAGGTGCAAACTTGGCTGACATGGTCTAAAGCAGGGGTGTCAAAGCCATGTGGCCCCATGGGCCAGATCTGGACTGTGGGGCTTCTCATGGGCTGGGTGACCATCAGGCAGTTGCGACAGCAACAACACTAATCCCTGTGGCTGCTGGAGCTGCTGTATTAGCACACCTCCAGAACCAAGAATGCCACTTGCTCCCCTTCTTTCTTGCTACTGATTTGCAAACAGTGACTAAATCCCTCGAATCTGGTGGTGGGTAAATGGGGGTGGGGCACAAGCAGTAGCAGCGTTAATTGTCTGGGTTCCAGAGTCATGCTGGTGCTGCTGCAGAGTCCGGCAGCTGCAGCAGAAAACCATATGGGCTGAGTCTGGCCCATGGAGGCAAGTGGTCCAGTCCACAAAAAACTCTGCAGGTCAGATGACCCCCGCTCCACAGGCTCCATCTGCTCTGTGGGCAGTTTGACACGGTCTAGCGGGCATAAGGACCGAGAGAGTCTGAGCACTGGTGCTCTATAGGGGAATTTCCAGGTGTGTCTTTTCCTGGCCAGTCCTCTTCCACCGTTTCTCTGCAGCTGTGAATACACTTACAGAAAAACCTAGGAAGCAAGGCCTGCTCTGCCCCTTCAGTTGTTGACTGGCAAGGATGTTCATGATCAGTGTGGCCAGCATTTCCAACCCTGTTGGGCTTTATCTGGACCTTGGCCCAGAGACTGGAAATTGCCATTACAGTGGTTTAATTAGAACTTTCTGTATCACTCGTTTACTCCATGCCATGCTGCTTGGTGGCGGCTGACTGCTCTGGCCGAGGGTAAAGTCTTACACCGGTTGGACAGAGCACTAGCATGGCAGCTTGTGAGTACTCTCCCTTAGATTAACTGAAGTGCTTGCTGAAAATAAATACAAAGACTGGCTAAGGAGTCAAATCATTATTAAAATGCATGCGTCACTAACACTTAAACTAAGGAATGAAGCTCCCTGCTATGCTAGCTGTTTGTGCCAGCTGTTCTTGCAGGGAGAACCAAACAGACTGAGCTGGAACCTTGGCAGGTAAACAGGAAACTCTCATTTTCAACTTGGCTGAAAATATTCGAATGCTTCACTGTGCATGAAGAGGGATTGAGCTCTTTAAAATGTCGTTTTAAAAACGTCTTTTGTAGTTCCAGGATAAGGCCAGGTTTCCCCTGCCCTTCTCTTCCCACCCATAGGAAACTGTTATGGGTGTGCACATGGAGAGAAAATGGGTCACTGGTGTAACAGCCCTACAACAGCACTGTTTGAAGGGAGCCCAGCATACAGCATTCGTGGTGCAGACTGACTCGCGATAGATCTCTGGGCCATTCTCCTGTTCTGGATGTACCAGATGTCATTAGCAAATTGACTTCCATTCCCTACCCTCTCATTGGGGCAGAGCTGTGATTGCAGTGCACGTCTGAAAACTCCTTAGAATTTCCCCTGGAATTGAATCCATGCTACTGGCTAGTTTGAGCAGGGTCCTAGTGGCCTTCATTGGGTAAGATGGAACACCCTCTTCTTAATGAGGTCTCCTAAGATGCAGTGCTTCATGTATATGCACACACAGCATTTTTTAAATTGAAAATACCTGAACTGTAGCTCTAATCATCAAATGGCAAAAAGACCATCCAGTACCGATGACTATGGCCATGGGCAGAACTGCTGGTGGAGGGCACCCAAAGAAGACTAAACTATGTAGCTTTCTCTCCGTGCAGCCCTGAGCAGGGAGGCTAGTTATGGCAAGGAAAGGAGCTGGTTCTCCACTGCCCATTCCCTTTCTGACACCTGGTCTGATTGATACGCTTGGAGGCAGGCTCAAGACGATGAGAAGAGGAGTCTGAACCTCATTCCTATCCGCTCCTCCACATGACCCTGTCATGGAGAAGGTTTTAATTTTGGTGCTTTATTGAGGGTTCCCCTTTGGGTTGCTCTTCTCATATGCTTAAGCCTCGCTTTATTTTGCCAGTGGTGTAGCTGAGGGTTATTAATTATGATTTCTCAAGTTAGCCGGATCATACCTCATGACCTTTCGAAGGCAGTTGGCGCCAACTGAGTTCTCTAGCCAGCTTTAGGCTGCAAAATTGTTCTCCCTGCTTTGAGGGAATTATGACTTTTTTACAATTTGCACGTAAAAAACTATTGTAGTTGAGGAAGGGGCGGACTTTGGAACATGGAGCGTAAGTCTAGGCTGTGCAGCAAAACCACCAGAGGGACTGTAGACATTTGAGTGGTGTGATATCAGCTATTCACTGTAGCTCTTGTTTGGTCCTAGTGCCATGAATATCCCCCAGAGCCTCCACGCTAATCAGACCTGTTTGTATGTATGCATTTGTCACATGTGTGTTATGAATTTAATAAAGAATTGTTGCTGCCTTTTCCCCCAAATGTATTGTATTATTGCTCTGATTATGAAGCTTTGACCCTGTCGCAGGATCCCGCGTCCTTCCTTGCAGTAAGACGAATAGCCTTGGTGAAAGCTGGCGCTTCAGTGAGCGAGGCTGTGCGAACGAGCTAAGAAATGGGACCAACCTAAATGCTGTCAGGGAAGGTGACTCTTGGAATCCTGCACTCGGTCGCTTGCCTTCTGTGCCTGTGGAATCCTTGATCCTAAAACTTCCTCTGCTCTGGGACACGTGGTGCTGATATCAAATAGGAGTGTCTGAGCCTTTGCTTCACAGTACTTCTGTAGGGCACAGTCCTGAACTATAATGGCAGGGCAGCTGGATCATCTGACAACTGGATGAGACTAACTTTATAGCATCATATAAAAGTAGCTCAGCTGCAGAATGAAGCTAGTAGTTGAAATGTCAGGAATAAGGCAGGTTTATATATGAAAGGCACAAAGTCTATATGGCTGAGGTTTTAAAAAAGGAACAGCAGCTTGTGGAAGGCAAAGCGGGGAAGGATTGAATTCTGGACCTTAGGGCTTCCTGCGCTGCCCAAGTTTCTCTTCTCAAAGCTGACAAAATAGATGTTGCCTTCACTGTAGGTAAAACGTGCTGGTTATTTGTATTGAAAACATTTCCATCCACCACTTCTTCTCCCTGCTAACCTGTTACCCTTTACTGCTTTTGTCTACAGGAACAATGTGGTTCTTTTATGTGATATGTGACCTAAGTGCAAATCTGTCCTGTACCTAAGGAGGAGACTCAAATCTACATCTCCCCGCTCTCCCAGGAGAGTGCCCCAACTCCCACGATGCAGTGCGCTCTGTGGGATGCTCCATCTCCTGTTGATGCAGTGACACTGGGTATGAAATACTAACGATTTACAGGAGCAGGGACTGGACCATGGGATGCCTTAGGTGAGTGCCCTCACCACTAAGCTGTCATGGTCACTATAACTGCTTATAGATGGGGGGGAACCCCAGCACTTTATTTTCATCTTGGCGCACCCCTGTGCCAAGCCCAACACGTGCCCAGAAGAAGCATTGTGTCAGTTTGACCCAGCTTGCCCAATGTTTGTATAAATTATGCACTTCAGCGAGGCTTTGTGGTGCCTTTAATAGCTGATTGAATCGGCTATTAGGTAAAAGTGCCAAAAAAGCACTGCCGAAGCGTGAAATCTATACGGATGTTGGGCGAGCTGCATCAAACTGGTTTCAGTGCCTCTTCCATTAAAGCGCTGCCCCCGCCCCCGCCTCTGTCAGCGGCCTGTCTGGCTAAGTGAATGTTCACGATGCTGTTCCTGACGCCAGGTTGTTCTGGTGTTCCTCCAAGACAACCGTAACATTTTTATTATGCTCTGTGTATACACAAGGCTGACCTGTGATGTTGGAGCCTGTTTACAACGTGTAACCTCACAACATTTGAATCTGTTCCCCCTTGCTTGCACCTAGATAAAGTCAAGGTGAGAGGGACAATGAAGCTGCAGACAAACCTATGGAGAAGCTTTGTACACGCAGTATCTCTGTACGTGCAATAAACACCTAAAACAAATTCTGAATTGGTATATGTTTAGTGCCTTTATGCCTTGGGTCCTGTCTCTGGTGATTTGGTTCTTCTGTGGGAGCTGGTAAGAGCAATAGCAGTTCAAGGACTTCACCTGCAGTTATTGACTTGTACTAGGAAGGGGGGAAAATGAACCTTAAATGGTGGGGTTGACTTAAAATTGGAATAATATGGCATAAGCCACTTCAAAGCTAGATGTGCAAAAGAGAGACGCGGGGGGTGGAGCGGGCTTGCAAGATCTCAAACAAGCCAGGTGTGACTGCACTTGAAATGAGGCAAGTGAGCACATAACTCCTCCATATGTGTTTCCTTAGCTCCTCTCCCATACCAAGTGTGTCGGCTTCAGGAAATCAAGCCGCTGGCCTGGGAAGGCAGCTCCATGAAGTAACCAGCCCTTTAAATATTGCTTCTAGAGTTTCTGTTTGAAATGAGTGGGTTCAGATTGGCGATGCCGAAATAGAGATGCTTTGAAAGGGGTTTAACTTCCTAATGGGACTAGGAGACCATACAAAGAGAAGACAGCTATGGGCATAACTCATTAAATACAGGGAAAGTCTTCGCGCTCTTCCCTGAAAGGAAAAATAAGGCCATTTAATTCTGGTTTTTTGCTGCTGTTCTCGCTTGAAAATCAATCGCAGGCCCATTTCATTCATCACTGGAACACCTTGCACACAGCAAGGGACAAGCAGTGGTGAACCCCAGTAGAGCTACAGTTGCCAGGAAATGGCTTTTTAAATCAACTGCTGGGGCCAGCTGGCAAAGAGTAAATGAGAGCTTTTTGCACGCCTACTGCCAAGCAGTTATCTACAGGCAGCAAATGGAGGGGTGGGCGGTTTGAGGGGCACATCATTTTGAAGTTGGATGGGAAAGTGGGGGGATTAACTAGCTCACTTCAGTGAAGCTCAGCCTGCAGATAACAGGAGCAGAGCTGCATCCACACTGGAAGGGAGAGCAGAAAGTCTGACAACTTCACGGGAAGCCACAGCAGGTCCTCCACCCACTTGCTGCCAAAATTCCTCATGGAAAAGCATTGCTGTCTGCTGCTTTGGGTCCGTTGTGGAAGAGCTCCTCCTCCAGAAAGAGCGGAAAAGCTGCTGGATTTCTTCAGCCTGGAGAGGTGCATGTGCCAAGGGTACTCTGAGATGGGAGCAAGACATTTAATTTCCTGTCACTACCGAGAGAGACGGCACGTTGCCGTGATTTATGAGCCCTCTCAGTCCAGAAGGGGAAGCCGGGCACTGAAAATGCACCCACTGCGGGCTGTAGGCAGTATGTTTTTAAAAGTCTGATCTTCAGCTAAAGCAGAGATAGGCTGAGTCAATTCTGTAAATGAAAACCCATGTGGGGAGGACCCAAAAGCTACAGGAAAAGGCAGCGTGCAGCTCTGCTTACTTGCGTGGTTGTTGAGACCCTGCTGCAGTACCAGCTCTGCAAGTAAGATGTAACATGGAGTCTTACCCTTTGCAGGGGGATTTCGGAAAGAACCACCAATTGACACAACAGTAAGGATTTAACCTTGGCGCAGCTGAGTAACTTCATTCACCTTCCTCGGACTGACTGCAACGGGCTCCCTTCCTGCCCTAAGCTTTAACTTACACCGCTATCGCCTCCTGATCAAGCAGCTGCTGCATTCTGCTTCAGAAGAGGCAGCCTTTCAGCGATGGATAATAAAAGAAGAACGTCTTATGCTCAGTCGGTTTGCAAAGCACAGAGCACATACTTCCTCAGGCACAATGCTAGCTAGAAAACCATGACGGATGTTCTGCGAGAGGATGATGAATGAGGGAGCGAACAAGCTTTTAAGTTTCAGCTGTCTTTCTATCAATCCCTGTTGTTCTTTCAAGAGCCTCCTTGTCACTCCTAATTGATTTGGTTGAGGCTTTTTGAAGCTGGACACACCAGTTGCCTCTCTCCCAAGCTCACCCAGCTCGCTTTGACTTTCCAAGAGCTGCAGGGTGGAGAGATGAGATTGGACAGGCCTGATTTTTAAAAAAACACATTTTGTTAAGCTACTGACTCGAGCTGCTGATCATGACGGCCTATTTGCCCATGTGCTTCGCTCCTTGTTCCAATATTTGTCTGAGCTTAAAATACCTTGTCGTGAAAAGCAGCAAATGCCCAAGGAAGAGTGCAGGGGTGAGACGGGGGATTCAGCAGTGATACTATAAAACATCTGTGAATCATGGAAGGAGACGCCTACATTAAAAAATAAACAAAACGAGCTAGTTTTAAATGAATCAGAAATCAGACAAGTTTCTTCTGCATTAGTGTATAAGGGAGAGGAACCTTTCCCAGGAATAAAGGCTCCTGGGGGGTTTATGGGCTAGCTAAGGCCTTGTTCACATGAGTGTTGCCCCAGTTGAACTTTGAAATCAGCTTTCCAGTGTTTTTACCGTAGCGGGTGGCTGCCTGTTGGGAAGCTCTGACTTTGATCTCGAGCATCTTACTGCAGCTGGGCTCTTTCAAGCTAAACCAAAGGAGGCTTCTTGCAAACTGAAGCAAACGTCCACACAAGAATTTGCACTTGTTTAACTTGGTTTTAAAACATTTAACTTCAACTGGAGCTTTCTGTTGAAGACGAGCCCTAAGTCTCAACCTGGTGGAGAACAGGGGCAGGGAGGGAATGGTCTGATGAGCAGAACTACGAGATCCCAGCAGTGCAGAGTTGGTCATTTCACTGATTATAAGTAGGAGGTAGCTGCAATTGCACGTTGATTAACTTCAACAACTTGCCAAGAGAAATGGTAATGCATCAGGTGGGCTGCTCTAGTGTGTGCTTTTTACTTGCTTTTTCTTTTCTGCCTTTGCTTTAAAGCCTGGCCTAGAAACAGCATGGTTGTGGCATAGTTCCTTCAAGGCTTTGGACGTGAGCATCTCAGCACCCCAAGTGAAAACCCCAAACTGAATGCTCTTAAGCACCGATGCATCCCAGCTCCAATGGGCAATGCCCTCGCCTGTCTTCGGGGACAGAAGTCAAACCCTGCTCCTGCAGTCCTTGGCCCTGTGTTTGCTCCTTTCGAAACCGGGGCAAAGGAAACAGGACCCGCAAAGGGGAAAGGGCTTATGTCAGAGGCAAAGCTGTTTCATTTTCCCTCTTGGAGAAAAGGATACACAATCAGGAGAAGAGGCTTCCCACTGGTTTTCTCTCGAGGCTGGCTGATGGCAGGCTTGGGCGGGCGGGGGGGAGCGCGTGGTTTGTTTCATACCTCCCCTTTCTCCGTAATGAAGTGCAGCGCACGCTGGCTGGGGTTGCTGTTTTTCAGATTTCCGTTGTTCTCTGCTTGCCTGTTTAATTCTCTCCTCTTCTGGCTGATTCCAGGAAGATACCCTGAGCGCCTGCAGCGGCTGCTTATTACATTGCCAGCAGGAGGCAGCCCCTGCTGCTGCAGCAAGGAGGAGGCAGCCTCAGATGAAAAACAAAGCGTGAAG